GATTTATCCAAACAGTGTTACGGTTTCCAAAAATTTTTGTCAAAATCACAGCAATGTGGAGTTTTCGTGGTCGCTCTATGAAGGAAAACATCTAAGTGAATTCCATTACTTTATTGATTCCATCCTGTTGGGTGCATCTTATATACAATACATATATTGAAGCAGAGTTGCTTAACTTTCTCGTTATTTAAAAATGAGCACCTCTCAGCTACTCGATTTGATCTTATATAGCCACAGGTGTATATTTATTCATAGATCAAAATCATATTTTCTTTTTTATAATTCGGTCACACTTATTCGTCAGAATGTCTTCAATATGCAGTCGATATCTTCTAGAACCCAGGAACTCTACGCTTCTCTCTAGCAAGGCATCCCCGTAATCTTTATGCATTTGTCCGGTGGTATTCCCAAACCAACTAAGGGGTGGCACAACTGCCTCTACGCGTTCAGGGGTGTGCGAAGCAACAGGCCCAGGTACTAAGACTTACTGACGGTCCGAAATCCGTGGTAGTGTCTATAGTGACAAACTGTTCATCTTCTTCGATAAGGTGAATGCTTACCTTCTAGCAAAGGATTTGCGGATACTCGGTAAACGGAGTGAAAAATTGCACTTCCTTGGTTCTCTCCCACAAACTAGCACACGTAGCAGCCGCCGACGGACTCACGTGGTACAGCCCATATCCCCGTGTCAATGTTCCAAAAAACTAGTTATTACTTAGTGTACGATCTTGCTAACATTTGGATAACTCAGATAACACGTTTGGAACACTAATACTTTCGCTGATTTTTTGCGTGATTGTGACCCTTCCGTTACAGTGTGCGTTCGTTGAACGTGGACCCAGAAACCTCCCTGCCTTCCCGTATTAACGCTGGGCACTGAGGACTGGCTAATAAATACGTCATGATCCATGCGCCGAGAATGGTTTTTTCAGTGGCGTGTATAGAGGTTAGAGGATCCGCAGGACGGCCTTCGAATTTCAATGCCAAAACATCTGAAACTTGTTACTCCTGGTCCTTCCTTGCTACCTGCGGGAACTGCGCGTAGGTCCTCCCAGCAACCGTTATTCCCTCTTTGGTGAATACACTTGTGGTGGAGGTTTTCATATTTTTATAGCATATAAGATCGGATCACCCGAATGAACACTTCTTTCTGATTCTAGATGCTGTAAATAAGTTACCGAAAGTAGCATATCTTGGACCTAGTTCTCTAGAGAGTACGCTAAATTTGAGCTTGACCTCTAGCTTTCCGTCGTTTAATCCACACAAACCGTTAAAGCATCTCCCGTTCCTCCTCTACCGGCAAACGAAATATTCCTGCGTTTACCTAGGAAAGGTAACTATTCCGTGCTTTCAACCATATCGCCAGCTATTCCGCCTTTGCCATCAAAATGAAGCGGACTGGCTTTATTATCGGCTGGGACGGACAAGCGCTTCAGAAGTGCTAGCTCTAATTTTGTGTAATTGCAGGCGTGTTTATTTATCTATTGATATTATATTTCCTTTATTACAATATGTATACATACATATTCCCTTTTGCGACTCTTTCGCTTTTGCAGATATTTTCGCTTTTATCGGCGTTTAGGAGATAAAATAGTTGTACTCATTTAGCTGATAAATATTGCTATACAATGAAAGAACCAATCATATAGCATCTGAAAAAACATCAGTAGTTTAAATTAATTTATAAAACATATAATTATTCTCTTAATAAAACTACATACACAGTTTGCTGAAAGACAACATCTTCTGTCTACAAAGGCTGCAAAACATGAGCACAAAATTATTTAAGTTCAGTGGCCGAGGTATTTGCAGTGCTGGCAGAGGCTGCTGAACTAAACCCGAGGAAGAAGAACAAAAAAAACGGTACAAGATTTTATCCTAAGGAAAGCTACGCAACCAGTTATTAAAAGATGCGTTATGCAGGCGCTGGGACGTAGGACCTTTTCGTTTGCGTATTTTACTTGCGGAGATCTCTCAGCTTCTTGAAGAGAGATTAAGCCAGTTGCAGATATTGCTTTAGGATCCTTAAGAAATTTAAAATCTGGTTTTGCAGAGAAAGTGATTTTTAATAATTGATTCTACAGAATCTGCAGGTTATAATCCTTTTTACCTATTTCATTATTTGTAGCAACGTTTGTTTAAGCTATGATGACATTTTAGCTTAATTGCCTCAAATGATCTTTGCTCCTTTTGAGAGGGTATCCTATGAGCATTAGATCTATCTTATCTTGGCGTTTTCCTCCGAAGTCAGTCAATTTAGCTAAAACGACTACCGCGAGATTCGTAAAATTGCTTGTATCTTCTGTTTTGAAAGCAAGCATTTAAAATCCAATTCGCGTAAAAAGCATTTTTCTTGTTTCGGTTTCTGCTTCGGTCATCAAGGATTTATTGAAATAGGAATAGACTGGACCTATATGGGTATTCTGCTTCCTATTACCAAAATCCTTTAGTAAAACAGAAAAGTGGTACGAAGTAGATACTATTGTCTACAAACATAAACAGCACCTTCCGCCTCCGTTTTTGACGGTTAATCAAAGTGGCTGTAATGAAAACAATTTTGCATTAAGCTGCTTTGGTTTTTGAACACAGTAGGCTCTTAAAGAGACCGCAGCTACTTTTTGTCCGAAGTGCAATTTGTGCTCACATAAAATTTTTAGCACATATTTTAATTAATCCGTCCATGTGAATAAAACGGTATTAGACACTTCTCTGAAAAACGCTAAGAAGTGCCGGAAAGCTGATCTAATTGGCTGCAGTAGTCAATGCGACTAGATTGATCTAGTCCTAAAAAGCAAACATAGCGGTTGTATCGTTTTTCTCATTTAAGCATCATATTCGGTTGTAAAGATAAATGGTATATTCGTGGTACGGCGCACTTTATTGATGATGTGTTTCGAATTTTACATATATTGACATTCGTGTTGATCGTTCCAAGACTTTTTTCAATTGGCGCAGCGTCAAGATGGGGAATTGGATTGAATTATTATCTAAGATTACGTTACTATTAATTTTATGAATAATGACATGGCCAGAAGGACACGTATATTGTTGATTATAAAATATGTGAAACTAACTTAAACAAAATTATTTGCTGGCGTTGTAATCTGCAAAGTAAATTTTAGCGCTGAACTTTCAATACCATTTTGATTTAGTGTAAATCAAGATGGACCTTCAGCTGTTCTCCCTTCGATACTATTTAGGACATCTGTCCACATTTGTCTTTGAAATTTGCATGGCGTTAGGATGGGCAAAAAACCAGATACATAACAATAAAGCTTTGGGTTCAGTCGTCAGTTAATGGTCGGTTACTTCAAATTAAATGGTAATGAGCCACAGACATATTATCGTTAGTTAACTTAACGCGATGGTTTAGTGTGCGATTACAACGCACCTCCACTGTGAATTCAGCTGAGAAATTTATATTTATAGTCAAATGGACTTGATGCTTAAAGAAGTCAGTGGAAATTATCGTTTAGATAAGTCTAACAATATAATTTTGTATCGAAGCTATTTGTCATATAAGTGCGTATTGCGCCTAGTTACACCAACGTTGTGGTCTGAAAGAAAAGTTTCGGAAGCCCCAAAAGTGTATTTCAACGCCATGACACCTACTTTACGACCTATTCCTAGCCTATCTTGCTATTTATGAGTGACATAAAACTTCAACCTACTGCCCAAGTACAATGCAAATATAAAATTTCTTTAACAAGATTCATAGTTAAACAAAACTGGCTGGCAGGAAAGACCCGCTTCATCCAAGAAATAAAAATTATATCTTCCGAAAAGCGATGTATTGAGCTACAGAAGGACAGAATATCACATTGAGTTGGGACAAAACAACTTGCTAACGGAATACACGAAACACAGTTGGTACGAATTACATAACTAGTTCTTATTTTAATAGTTCGCACGTGTAAAGCAATTCTGCAATGAGAGTAGCCAGTAGGATGTGAATAAGCGTATCGTAGCATATCTTCTTATTACAATAAGGTCCCGTTGTTTTAACAATCTTATCGATCTATATGTTAAAAGAGGCTAGATTTCTATTGGCTTCTGATAGCCTACTAAAATGACAGACTGATAACTTGGGTTCAAGGCAGGGGTAATTTGCCCATTCAGCAAATCACCAAAGTCACACTCTAGGGCCCTCACGCTTTAAAGTAAAAATAGATTTCGGTAGATCGACAATAATCTCTTATTATTGACTTAGCGTTTACGAACTAACAAATAATAGTCAATAAACTAACCTTATCTAGTATTTCTAAGACACATTTAATTAAAGAGCTAAAATTAAACGAAAAACATAATTAATTAAAAAGCTTTAATACTATGTAACGTTTCAATGTCAAATAATTGATACTACCATTAATATTAGATTTTGTTGAATTTTATTTACTTTCTATTTTTAATTAGACTATGGGATTTGCAGATATGCTCCATCTATTTTGCTTTTTAAATAATTTAATTGATCAGATTGGAAAGATATTTTGCGAATTAAATGCTGGGGTTCTTATACAGTTGACAAGAAGACAGCTTCACCATCGCTAGCATAACCAGAGTGAAGCACGTACGAATCCAGCTAACTATATCAAGTAGGGAAAACTTTGATGAGCTTTTAGGTAGCTCAAGACATTCACTAGCTCGATTTCGCCAATTTGTCTCGCGAATGGTGAAATGAACAGAAAAGTATGAAAATATACGATATGGCAAGCTTATAATACGTTAGATTTTTCAAGAGCTACCGTTTTTGTGATCTCGACAAATTTAGTTTGAACGGAAACGAGGTTCAAAATTCATTCCATGCTATGGATCTTGTATATGTGAACTTGTGTTTGTAATATAATAAAGCCTATTACCCACTGTCCGTAAAAAGGAATAAATTATTGAGAAAGCGCGCGTTTTGGAAAGTACTCAAAGGCTCCTTTCTCACAACTCAATCGCCTCCAGACCTCTTCAAGCATAATTCATCCATCAATAAAAACATTGGGGCACAGGACACCTAAACATCTCGAGTTTTACGTCCTGCCCCGGCGTTAGGCATTCAACCAGAATTGGCTGTACGTTTGTGTGTGCTAGACGACGTTTTGTACCGTTTTTAACATCGATCTTGAACATTTTGCGTTACGCAATTATTTTTAGGTACTCACAACCCGTATACTCATGCCTTTGTTTATCCAACAATTTGGGGCATTCCGGCGTTGTGCCCGTATTTTCGCTGAAGTTCGTTTTTTTAATTCACATACGGTAAGCTCACCAAGTAAAACATCGAAAGATGTTGAGAACAAAAAGGAAGAGTTTACAAATGTAGATGGACTGAAAGAGTTTTTTGATAGTCCCGAAAACTTTGGAGCCTTTGAAGTGAAACATGGACGCAGCTGGAACCTCCATGAATTGCGAATTAAATCGAACAGTGATCTCCACAAACTGTGGTATGTACTTCTCAAAGAGCGCAATCTATTGCTCACGCTTGAAGCCGCAGCAAAGAATGAGATCGAAATTATGCCGAGCCCCGAGCGGTTAGATAAGGTTGAGGAATCGATGACAAACCTTGAAAGTGTTGTTCGAGAGCGTAACAAGGCCTATTTCGATCTGGAGGTAGGTGAATCTGGGGAAAGGCCTGTCCAAAATAAATTAGATTGGATGGGAATTGTTAAAAAAACACGTCTGTCGGAGCACTGGATGCCTCAGCGGTATAACAGTTCATATAACAGAAAGTACCCCTTGCCATTCAATGATAAGAACCAAAACTGGTTTCTTCAGCGATATCGGGAGCTGGAAATGAAAAGAAAGGTACGGTGTATTTTGTTGTTTCTTTATATATTTATGTGTCTCATTGTGACATTAGTTATGTAACGTACACATGATAACTGCTGACTCAGTTCTTCATTATACTTATACGTAAAATGTGTCACTAAAAGTATGCAATTTTTTGTTTTAAAAACTTTGAATATTATGCGAAAATGTAAAAAATTATCGGAAGCGTTTTTTTAGCTTAATCAATAAATTGCATTCTTTTTCGTTCTCTCCCTCTCTCTCTTACTAACTTTTTTTTCGGTTAACTGGAGTTCTTAGGTTTACAGGAATATATTGACTGCAACACGTTTACTGTGACGGCATTCGAGTGTGCTTATCTTAGTGCATCATTGCTTTTAGTTTTTTATTCGATCGAATAATACATTTTCATTGTTTAATTAAATTAACAGTAATAATCTCTGGATTGACAAAAAGTCGGGGAAAATTTTCAGCAAACGACTCTATAAAGTATTGAGTATTCTTAAACTAATATTACGGAATCTATTCTAAGATATGCCAAATGTACATAACGACAAAAGGTAAAATAATAGATAAATAATAAATAAGAAAAAAATAAATAACAACAATGAATTGAAAACTTGAAACAATCAAACACGTGTGTTTTTCGATGGCACTGAGTACTTAGTTACGAAATGCAGAGCAAATCTATAGAGGATACAATTGGACATTATAATTAAATAGAGACGAAACATTCTTTTTAAAAATAACACGTCTTGAAAAACAGCAACTTCAGGAAAAGATATTTTTTAGTTGAAATTAGCTTTATTTAGGTTTTAGATTTCCTTTCACTAACAGAAACTGTGTTGGGATCTCAAAATCCCGAAAACACTTAAAAAGGAAAATAAAATTTGGTTTGTTATTATGTCTTAATATATTTAATAAATGTGAACTAGACATGCTTTTAATGCTGTATCTCTACAATTCCATTTATTTTTTATTTGTCTACAGGAAATTCTAGCCTTGCTTGCAAGGCTTAGAGTTTATGGTATTGAGATAAGCATAATTATTTTTGACGCCATAATGTCTCCTCTAGTGTTTGTACTCCTAGACTGTACGAACATACACGAAATTAATAATTCTTAACCGTTAATTTGTATCATTATTTTCCATTTTAGGAACGTCTAGACCAAGCAAACCGAAGGAGGGTTCGTCGCCAGTTTGAGTTGTTCCCCGACGTTGACGTGACAGAATTAAAACGCAGGTTTCCTGATATCGATGTCGAAAAAATTCAAAAAGAAGTTCAAGGAAAACTTTTATTTCCTTGATACTTTCAAATTTTGTATACCTAGAAATGCAGGTGTTTGATCAATGATTGCAAGTTAGTCAGTAAATGCTGTGCTATACTTAGTAAATCGTACCTTTAGCTGTATTGTAAGAAATTTAAATTAAGGGCTCCAAAGAATAGCATTCAGCATTACGGGCAATTACAATAAACTTCAAAAGTAGCCTTTGATCTATTACAGTTTTAGGATGCAATTTTTTTTATAACTATTCTGGAATTGTTCGGGAAATTTTAGTAAACATGACAAGTAGTTATAACAAATTTTAATGTTTTTTATATGTAATTTTAGTTAAAAACAAGTTAGATCGAACTCTAAGTTATAAGTCAAGACAGTTGGTGTCATTCAGCACACCCAGGCATTGTTTTTCCAAGATTTATGTAGTCTGTCGTTGAAAATTCGCAGCTGTAGAAACTGTATACTGCGGTTGCGGCAAGGTTAATCCCCTGCTCAATGATGGGTAACCCGCTTAAAAGTCCGTTAAGATAATCCCGGATTATTAACCCGAACCTCGTTGTGTTTTCAACAAATAGTACAGCTACGACACCAGGGAGTAAAATGAATTGCGCAATATATATAAGTGTATATATTAAAAAAAACTATCTGCGTTACCCTGTACAATTTCGAACTATATAACTGGGCTCTGTGGACATTTCGCTAAGCAATCTATTGACGTTAATGATCGAAAATCGACCATAAATCGACACATACAGCTTTCATAGGTCTTTTTGTGTGGGTATATTCTGAAGCGGTCAACGAAGTCGGTTACCTTAATTACGGTTGACAATTTTGCAGTGAACCTGAGCTGGCATTGAATAATGATATCGTATTGCTGAATTGGTAATTTAATTGTGAGTTTTCGTAATTTATTTGGTTGAAGACAGCTTTCTTAAACATCTTTGAACTTGATGGGGAAATACTCACAGGACGGTCATTACCATTCACCAGTGAATTAGCACTTTTAAGTATCAATATGACCCAGAGCGGCATAAGAGCGGCTTAAAACATAAGAGCGGCTCTACTGGGTACAGTGGCACGCGGCATGTTAGTTAGGTGTAGTTTGTGCGTGAACACACTGACGAAGTGTTTGTGCGATATTCTTACCGACCTAAGCAGATCATAACTCTACGTAAGAAATGAGATATCCTCAGATTACGCAGTTTTCTTTCTTAAAATCTTTAGCAACCGAAGTGCTTTATACATGTCTAGGATATGTAACTAAATGACACTTCAACTTAAGAAGATGAATTTGTCGTAAATAGTTATCCACTAAAAGCAAAGACCAAAAGTAAGCATCGATCCTTCTAATTACTTAAATTGACAAAAATTAAAATGAACAATTTGGCTTCCCTCTGTTGGTTAGGCCCGAACAGGTGATGGCTTTGTCTCTGCGTCCGCAGCTGTGGTAACTGTACTATGCATTTTCATGTCTATAGATATTTTATGAATGAGTGCTCCTGTTATCAAGTAGTTCATCAGATGCCAATTTTGGATGACTCTAACATTTTTGAAAACCACTCATTTCGTCTTGAGTTTTTTTAGCCTGTTGCAAAATTGGATATTGATCATGTAAAGACTCTTGCTTATGCAAAGGTCATGGAAGACCATCTCTTTTTCACTGCTGTCGTGATCTGTGCATATTGCGTAATCGTCCCTTCCGATTATTTTATTTTGGTAACCGCTGAAAAAGCCGTATCTGATAATACTTGTACCGTGTAAAATAATAGCTGACCATGTCGTCCGTTATATCCGTTGGATATCTTTTTTTTGAGCTTTCCCGTGGTTGCACCTATCTGGTTTGACTTATTAGTTCAGGTCTCCTTGACATTGGAAAGCGCACTCTTCCTAAGGTTATAATGCGTTTTATTCTCTTCTCAATAAGAAGTTTCCAGGAGATAATTTGGTCGTGGCTACCGCTGCCCTAAATGAGGTTTTTTTCAAAAGCACCGAAGATTTTCAGTGTCACCTGCAGTTGCTATCTTCTTCCTCTGTTTCTGTTTGCCTTCATTTTCATAGCTTTATTACGTACTGCCATAGAGCAAAGTGTTTTGGTATTTGCGACGCTTACGAAACCTCTTTTAGACTACTTATCGAAGCTACACATCATGGGTATGAGTCCTACCATTGAGTATAGAAACCAGTGTTCTTGCAGCCTTCACATTAAAAATTGTTCCTTTAGTACTCGAGAGAAGAGCTCATTTTAGGGCTTGCTGTAATAGTTTGTCGTATTTTTTGGCTGGCGGTAAAAGACGCCCACCAAAAAGTATCGTTTGTCAATAGCATTCCCGACTTAGGTTCCACAGTGTTGAGGATGTTGAGCATGAACTCAGGTCCGCAACGAACATCGCATTTCACACACGTTGCCAATTCTATTTATTCCACATTTTTTTCTGTTTCAGTGCTTTTCCTTGGTAGACAAACGAAGCATTTAAGGCAGGTGAGTTGCTCACAGGTACCGAACTCGATACAGTTACCTGATACGGTAGTGTAAGATATAGCTAGCGTCTTAACTGTAGTATCCATTAGATTAAGGCCTTCCTCTGTTGCTGACCGTGCATAGCTATATGTTTACATACTATATGGAATTATATATCGTTTCCTATTCGACGCAGGTTTGAAATTTTTTGGGTTTGAAAACGCAGGATTTGAAAAAAAAACTAGGGCAAGTACTCTGGTTTTGACACTTGTGTGTTGCTTAGCGCTGTTTTCTTTTGAGCTTCAGTTATTTTGTCACGTACGCGGGGACCTCTTTTTATCATAGAGTATAAAGCTTACTATGACGTTTTTTGCAAGGTTGCTTTTTGAAAATATATTTGGAAGCTTCCATGGTCAGAAAAGGTGACCTATATAATTTATAAGATGTTGTGATCTCACTCAATATATAGTTTTATTCAGGCTAGAATATTTACTCGCATAGGCGATCAGGATGACCTATATAATCTCAGTCTCTAAGATATGAATAGAGTGATCCTTATCAAGCTAGTTTTTGCTCGATCGCCTTAGCCCGGGAGCTCCAAAGATGATGAATGTTGGAGGTGTTGATTAAGGTTGTAGAAATGGCCTTGTTTGAGCTAATAATTTGAACTGATGCTTAGGGTGTTTTTTTATGAATGAATGCATTAAATCTAATAACAAGATTTCTGAGCCTATGATTTGACAGACCCTACTATCAATAATTTTTTGAAAAGACGTTGTATTCTAATGATGACTGGGTCACTAATTTCAATTAAATTTTTTTCCTAAGTGCTTTTTTATGGGGTGTTTTTATAGAACAACTAACCTGACTTCTAATAATATGCATAATTCTGCACATTTAAGTGTTCCTTAATCGTCCTTATATTTATGTGGGCAGCTCAATGCATCCGAGATGAGGGGGTACTAAATATGTGAACTCCAACTTCGTTTTCTACGTTGTTTCTACTGCGTTGTTGTGCGTCTTACTAAGGAATTTTCCGCCGTTATTCGAGACTCACGGCTTCCAATATCCGGCTCTAGCGAATATTTAATGCAACCATTTAACAGTAACAGCTGTGATTGTTTTGATTAGTAGGACTACAATCTTTTTAGTTATCCAATACATCTTTTAAGAAGTCGCTGCTCTAATTGACGCTTTAAAATGGACGTGCACGGTCAGTGTGACCGAATATGACACGATATCTTCCCAGAGATGAACTTTGGCTTTCGAGAACACTTCACGTCCTTAACACCTTTTCATCTTTAGGTTACTATCTGAACTTAAAGCGAGAGCAGATTTTACACGTTCTTGTATTTTAAGAATTTGCGATTTATGCTGTACCCTTAAGCCCCATTTTTGCCATGATAGTGTTATCCTAAACTTCCTTCGCCGAAGTATTGACATCCCTACATCCAAAAAAAATTAAGACCTATGTAGAAAAGTACAGGTATTCACTTGCCTGCTAAGTTTTCGAAAAACAAATAAATGCATTACGTGTCTGCTTTTTCTGCCAAAAGGTACTATTTGATTTCGCCCAGTATGGCTTCGTTGCCCTTTGCTTTACATACACGCAACTGTTGGCAGTGATTCAAAACTGGACCGGTAACGGACCATACCACCGCATTTATTCCACTCAAAAGAGTGCATCATAGAATCCTACTGATTGAGTTTTCACCAATCGATTTTATGATGGCTATCAGCCTATCTAATTGCAAGTGTTTTGTGTGAAGGTTGAAATTATTTTGTTTTTCGCTACCTACCCTTTGGGACATTCCTCAAAAAAGTTGTATTGTGCCATTGTTAGGAGTAGTTCTACTTGATGTTCGTAAATGTATTTTACTTAAAGTCAATATTTAAAATATACAAGGATCTTGAAGATCTGCTGTTCCCTGGAGCTCAAAAGGTTAACAAGGTTATGGTTCTATCTTAACTTGTATATAATTTCTTCATTGTAAAAACTGCAAAACACATCATTATGCTTGAAGATATGCAATTTATAAAACGACTACGGTGGACACGTTTCTTACCAGGAAATCCATGTTGACTTGCCTTTTATACCACCGTTATTTAACGAGCAAAATGCTGAAAACCTCTTCCAACTTTATAAAGCGGAACTTGAAACCATTATTTTAAGTTCAAAGCCTACGCTATTCGCAGTAATATACCACTGTCCTTAAAGCAGAGAAATTCAAATTCTATTTACAATTTAACAATTATTTATAATTATACGTGAATGATATGCAATTTGTTTAATAAACGTGGCATGTTTTTTACTTTTTTTAATTGTATATCAGATCTACTACCCAATGCTCAATTTTTGCCACAAACTCGATGATGTGTAAATGAAAGTGTAAAAAGTGTAAAATCAATATAATTTTCCCAGACATTTGTTTCTCTCCATGGTCCAGTCTAAACGCGTCTCAATCTGTAGTAACTCATTTCGGTTTTTAATGTGATAAGAGATAAATTTTGAGTTATCAACGAAAGGAAGCGTAGAATGCTACGTGTGCTAAGAACGAGCGTAATTTAATAACGCCCCTTGGCGTCGGAATTGAAGCAACTACTGGTTTTTTTGAGAACATTGTTTTGTTTCCCCTTGCTGAATACCTGAGTACGCAGAACTTTGCGTTGTATTGTTCTACATTTTTCTTACACTTATCTTGAAAGGTCTAGATGTTCCTCGGTGTCTTCGACAATAAGAAAGTCATAACGACAACCCGTAACTGTTGTA